TATTTCGACAACAATTGTATTTGTCTTCAAAACAAAGACTTTTATTTCGTTATCCAAAGCCTTGAAAACCAATACAAGACTTCCTTAAGACCTGACCATCAGTTTGAATACCAATTGTCACCAAAACACTCGTCACTCACCACTCAATCATCGCTCGGCACCACTCATACCGGCGCTGAAGATCCTAAAGCATATCACGTGTCAAACGACGAGACCAGCGATGAGACATCGGATGCCGAAGATATGACCGCCAATAGGAGACCTGGTTTTAGGTCACAGAACGTGTTGAAAGCGAGTCTAAGGGCCAGAAGAGGGACACATCCGTCGGGCACCGGCTGTAAGGCTGCCGTCGGTCTCAACGGCGATAAGTTGGCCGCCGATCGGCTCAAACACGAGTGCTCTTGGATTGGCTGCGATCAGCGGTTCCGCGACAACTACGCCCTGAAGGCACACATACGGCTCCGACACACTAATGAGCGGCCATTCAAGTGCTCGGACTGTACCAAAGGGTTTGCCGATAGGAAACACCTTCGAGAGCACCAGAAGATACACACCATCGGTGGTCACGTGTTTCGGTGTCAACTCGACGGCTGTTCGTATGAGACCCGACGCGAGGCCAACCTCAGGGAACACACCCTTCGCCACAACAACATCCGTAACTACCGGTGCGACCAAAACGGGTGCGACAAGTGTTTTGTCACCAATTATGAGCTGAAAGTGCATAAAAGTCACGTGCATTCGGACGACCGGCCATTCGGGTGCGATTGGCCCGGATGTGAGGCCGACTATAAGAGCAAACAACGGCTCGATGACCACAAATTGTCTCATTTAGGTGTCCGACAGTTCGCCTGCGATTTCACCGGTTGTGCGAAGAGTTTTGTGACCAAAAAGAAGTTGACTCAACACCGCAACGAACACATAAAACCCTACGCCTGCAGTTGGCCAGAGTGTGGCCACTCGTTCGGCAACAATCGCGCCCTCAAAGCACATACAAACGCTCACGAAGGCGTCCGACCGTTCGGCTGCCCGACCACCGACTGTCCCAAAGCTTTCTATAGTAAACCGCAACTCAATTCTCATATAAAGTCAGCGCATAAACGCCCGGAACTGTCGGATGTTATGCCCGTCACCACAACCACAGCCGCCGCCAGTTCGTTGTTCACACGACCTCATGCTTTTGTTGGCCACTCGCCGGTCATGCCGTGGCCTAACACTGCGCCCGATCGACATCACATTTAACAGATCCCGATCTCCAATAGCTATACGGTTGACACAAATGGTCAGAAGAATCGGAATTTATTGTCTGGTAGTGCGCACAGCAATGGCTTTGTGTGATCATTTCTTTCTAGTCCCCAATTGTGGCCATTTTATTAGATCTAATCATTGGATTCGTTGTATATAATAGTTATGTTTTTTAGACACTATTTATTAATTACAAGTACTGTATAAATGGTGTAAAATTATTTGTTTTATAACTCATATCAAATTACTGTAGTTTTAGTCATAGGAAATAATTAACAGTAAGTTTATAATAAATTATTATTAATAATCACTAAATCACTGGAAATGCATATCAATTATATTTGCAATGATGTCAATGATATCAAAGCCAAATGATATCAATAACTTATTGATAATAAGTGTAGTTATAATTGTTGTAATTTATAGTGTTTTTTATACAAACATTAAATTTAATTGTTATAATTTTGTTAATTAAAATAGACTAATCTAGTTGTTTATATTTTGTTTTTTAATATTATGTGTATTTAGACATTGTTTTCTTATTATTGTTTGTATTTAACAATTGAATAAATGTTTAAGTTTTTGTTAATTTAATTAATAAAATTAATATATTTTTGATTAAACTTTGAGCCGT